GCAATTCTTATGAAGAACTTAGAACATTGTTTCTGAAATGTCTTGAAATTATGGATATTCACTCTTTTAATTATATTCTGGGATATCCTACCTATTCTAAATGTTCTTGGTATCACACGTTCGGAATGAAACGAAATATCTATCCAAACCTCATGGAACAAAACGACATATACACAACGTGTTAAGATCTCTCAATATTCTAATTTTACAAAGGAAAGTTTGGTTAATCTAAAAAATATCTTGTTAATGAAATAAAAGGTTTACTTTAATTTTTATCTATTTTTGTTTTTTTGTCATAGTTTTTTGAATTATTTTTGTTAAATGAACCAAAATTTCCTTTGTATTTACAATATTGAGAGGTATAAGAAAATGTTGTATATGCTGTTTTGTTCCATCAAGGTTGGGAAAAATATTGTATTTCATTCTCGAGAAAGGTAGAAAGGTAGAAAGGAACAAAAATAATTGCACTAAGATCAAAAAGTGTTAACAAAAACAGTTATAAAAAATATATATAAATAATTTTCGCATCATTTTGTTGACAATCAGTGACCATTACATAAATAAACTTTTTTTTTTACAGAATGCTATCAATAATTGGTAAAAAGAAAAAGCAATGTTGAATTCAGTTCGCCATATCGATACCAATCCTTTAATCATAAAATCTGCATCATATTTTAAACAGTTTTAACAGCGATCTAATTACAACCCCAACATTCTCATATGTTACATCCTTTACTTATTTAACCAATATTGGGTCAACAAATCGATGTGGTACTTAATGCATCCTCGCCCGTGAGAGTGCGCAGACCCCACGTGAAACGCAATTAGGCAACACAACGGTCCGACCATCATGATGAAACTTGTACTCGCCTTCGCCTTGATGGCGATTGCCCACGCTTGTATTCGATCCGAGGAACCAGGCCCGGAAAAACCAAAATATGAACCGACAGATGAGGAAATCTATATGGAGATCCAGAAGGGAATGAAAAGACCAATGGGCTTTGATGAACGTTCTTGGGGTATCATGCAGAAGAAGATTAGAGCATGGGATTACGATGGATTTTTGGAACTGCTTGGGTTTGAGGAGAAAGATTTTTGCGTGCAAAAAACCGCGGTGTGAGTACTGGAGTATGACCTGGAGTACACTCCCCTCCAAACGTTTGGCAACCTTAGCTCCCTCATTGAACTACGTCTTAAAGCCTCTTTATGTTTGACTTTTTATTTACATAACCTGCGAGGAAAATACTTATCGTATTTATGGAAATGTAACTTGATTTCATTTTCTAAGGTTGCCAACTTATGGAGGGGAGTGTAGGTCGAAAATTGATGATACATCTGATGAATTTTTGAAAATCGAAATTCCCATGTAAACCAATGGGAAATGGTTGGTTTGCCTCAAGTCATGTGACAGAATATTCATCCATCCGAGTTCTTGCAAAAATAGTTAGGTGGCCATGGTCAATTGAATTTGCTAATTTTATTTAATAAAATTGATACGTTCAGGTTTAAAAATGTTATAGGTCTTCAAAGTCAAAATTGCTTAAAACTCCTCCCATTGAAATAACACAGAAGACGAAAAATGATTTTCAAAAATTACTTTGAAGCTCTGTAACTTTAATATTCATAAAGTAAATTGAACACTTAGCGTACAAAAAAGTTAGACAATTCAATTTTCTACATAAAAAATATCTTTTGGTGAATCTTTTACTGGATAGATATCCTGAAAACAGATTTGCCCCGAACCCACCATTTCCCATTGGTTTACATTGGAATGACGATTTTCATAGAATTCATTGTAATTGAGGAAAAATTGGGAAAAATCACATTTCCATCAATATTATAAGTATCTTCCTCACGAATTATGTAAATAAAAGAGGAGACGCGAAAATCTTTCCTTATAAGGTCAAAATATTTCCCATGATGCAGTTCGCGGAGGAACAAATTTATACTTCCTTGTTTTCCCTCATAGGTTTAACATGGGGATTTTCACACCTATTTTTCAAACGATATATTCGTTCATATTCCCGTACAAGAGTACAGAAAAAATTATTAGAAAAGATTGATCTCTTATTAGTCTTAATATAACAGCTATTTTTTCATTGTATTGATTCATAGCGTGGTGAGAACGATGATTGAAAAGTGAGAAAATATTCCGGAAAAGAAGGTCACGTGATCAGTTGACTAGTCGCCATTTTGGAAAAAACAATTCCATTCGACTTTCAATACTTTCCTGCCAATCTTACCGCACTAAAAACTGCAACATCGATGCAACAACTGAATAAAAGTATTCATCTTCAAATTACATTTTAGCGTTACGTTGAAAACCCACAAACAACTGAGCAGTAGACCAAAGAAGACGCATCGCTATTATCTAGGTCAATCTGTTCAGTGGTCCGAAAGCAAATCTATAATACTCGTTTCCGAATTTGTTGGTCATTGTACAATCTTTTATTGATTAAACTCGGTATACTGACAATTAAAGCAATGACAACGAAGAATACTTCCGATGGTGTCATTGTTTTATTTAGCGTGCGGGTGTAAAAACAAAATTGCGTAATTAGTTTGATTTAGAGCTTTCGGGTCACGCAAATAGCTACGAGAAATGCATAGTGGGAAAATATTGACCAATCAAATGTTGTCCTTTTTGATTGCTTTTTCAGTACATATTTGCGAACGTTCTGATTCAAAGAGCGAACCGCGAAAGGGAGAATTGGTTTCTGAGATAGGGCTCTATTTGCGTTATTTGTTGATCACCCCCTGTATGTTGCGTTTTTATGGAATAGATTATATACTTTTGTGATTTTTAGAAAATAGTCATGACAAGGAATGATATAAGCCATTTTTCTAAAATTGAGACACTTTTTGATTGCTTAGCTACTAGAATAGTATATCTGATTCTCAATAGCTCATTGTAATCTTCTATATTCACGGTGTCCAACCCAAACGCTCTTACATGCCGGGGCGTTTCAGAAACGTTGGAAACGTTGCAGAGCGAAATGAAATGGTAGCAAATGAAGATCCCACTATGACCGTAAGTATTGTTTCACTCGTTTCTCTTACATATCATACGTTATGTTGACATATTATGTACCATTCGATGAACAAAACCCGAAGCAAAGATCTTACTTATTCAACTTTTGCTGGTGTCTGTTATTTGCTTGATCAAAGCTCCGTAGTGTAGATCGAACGAATCTGATGTTGACGAATTGACCACAAATTACGAATTAATCATGTATTTATATGAAAATGTCAACCAAAGAGTTTGGAATGGAATATATCTCTCAAAAACGTGTTATTGAGAATAAGGCAGATTGTAACTTCCCAAACTGGTGGTGCTACACGTGCAACAAGCCGAGTTGAAGCCTACATTAGATGATGATATGTCTACATGTACGCTAAAACATAAAAATATTGACAAAAAAACAAAAAGTTTATATATGATTTAATCTTTCTTCTTTTGATGCCAGGGATACAATAGATCTTTTTTTCTCTTCCTGAATAGGAAAGTCAAGCTAATTACTCAGATGTGAGTAGGTAGTTACCAGTTTCGCCACCAGGTGGCTGATTCGGGGGAATTAACATGGCAGGGTATTACGAAATTCCCCTAAACTTGAATATGCATTAGTTTTAGTGGTTCACTTTTCATATTACCCTTATGTATCTGATCGTTATACAGATAAAAATATGTCCAGTTAAAGAAAATATTATCTGCCCAACACAAGAAAAGATATTTCACTTTTTGTGGTTTTACAACATGGGGTCTATTGGGAATCTCCCCGACCTAGAAGTCACATTTTCAAAGAAAATTAAATTTTTAAAGTTGATAAACTCTTTTCAAAACCAGATTTTTAAATGTAATTTTACATGTAGATTCCAAATATAATATCAGTTTGACTGAATTGTGTATTTTTAATGACGTAAATCAAGATTATTTCTACTCTCATCTGGGATATTCCTAAGCATATTTAGACTAAGATTAGTACTGCAGCGTTTCCAGTTCATTGTGTTAACCAGATCGCAGCGTTTCTTGAATATGAGAATGTCATCATTTTTAAGACTGGATTTTCGGTCATTAAATAACAATTACGATAATGTATGGTGCGTTGAAACTTCGGAATTTGACCAAAATATACTCTGGTGCTCTAATCTTCACTCAACTAATCACATGCCTGACAAATACGTTTATGAATTTTGATAAGTACTGCTTCGTACAGCTCTTCCTAATTGTTTCAAACGTAAACAGCCAGCCAAGTACAAAATGAATATCACACCCATCGAATGGTATACTCGAAATAAGTAACACGTACCCATCATTCCCACCCGTCATTTTTCCTACTCCGGAGCGTTTCTTTGTTTAGTTTCAGTAATGAAACGCTCAGTCGTGCATGTAAGAGCGTTTGCGTTGGACACCGTGATATTGGGCTTATACATTTTCCAAGTCTAACTAGTACAAGCCCTTGTGTTATAGATAAGGGTCCACGGTCTTAAGCAATACTAGCACTCTTAAAAAGTATAACTTGGATTTCCTTATATTGAGAAATTGTACTACTCATTTTAAGTCAAAAATTACTTAAATAATCTTGAACTACTGAATAATTTTTAAGTAATTTTTAAGTAATTCATTTATGGTGAATTTACTAATGCAAGGAGACAAATTGAAATACTTACTGTAGTAATTGTAATACTCATTTACATAAATAAGCAATTAAAAAACTCAAAATGACAATATAAGTAAAACCTAAGTAAAATGAAGTAAAACTAAGTATTTATCTTTAAGTAATTTTTATACTCGGGAAATATTTGGGAAATACTCAAGTAATTCATTTTTAAGAGTGAGCCTTCCCTCTTGGCCTACATTTATAGTGTATCCTATTGTATACCTGACCATATTATATTATTACGTTGACATTTTTATGTTCATCATTATATATCCCTTGATTTTCATTATATTTCAGACGAGGTGGCAATTATGCCATTCAATTCGCATTCCTGGACTTTGCAGGTAATCCGTATCAGAACTTTTCTTATGTGTGAGTACTATATTAATTATATCAGATGTTAAAATGTTTATGCAATCTCTCGGGCCTTTGCTAAAGAAAGTCCTAGTTCCAGATATTAGGCCACATATGTTCATGTTGGATATGATCAAATCACTGATCATTCGCAAGAATGAAAAGAGTTATCTTTTACTAAATTTATATAGTCTGTACGAGTATAGTCAATGGAGTTTATACATTATAGTCATTCGAGTGTTTATGTTAAATGTATATATCTGTTTTAATTAATTCTGTTTTGATACACGTGTAGATGATATTTAAAAAATAATCAAGAAAAGTTATATACTGACCACAGACAGAAAAATGAGCAACTACATAGCTAGGAAAACCGGTCTCATCACAAAAAGTAAAAATGTGCTACAGAGCCAAGAATGTGCCCTAGATAAAGAGGAAAATGTGCTAAATTTAAATCTGACTTTTTGTCTGTATCTGCAGGGAAAAAATGTTAAGACATAAGCTATGGCTCATTTGAAAGGTCTCTTTGTGCTTTTTAAGATAAACGAAAATATTGAAAATGACTGATATGACCCCTTTTCCCATGGCCTGGCTCAAATATTGACCATTTGATAATCAAGCACAAAAGTGATTTTGTAGATCATCCATATTTCTTATTTTAGAAATCCAAGAACCCAAATGCTTGAAGGTTTTCTACCAGATATTACTCAGAAAGCATGTGACTTTTGTGGAGCAACATGTGGCATGAGGAATATTGGAATGAGACCCGATCGATGCTTCGACGAGATGGAACTCACTGGTTCAGGTAATAATACATTTGTTGTAAATGCTACCTAAACCTAGTATTCAATGGTGTCCACTTGATTATAAAGACGTTACGGGTCTATATCCAAATGGAAAAACACTAATATAAGGGCTTTTAGGTATAATGCAGTTATCCCCCATAATTCACTCAAATACTGTCACCATGTTAACAATACCATGATTTGTGTGCCCAGTTTTGTGTGCCCAGTTTTGACGTAAAGATGATTACTAGTTCGTTAAAAGGATTCGACTGTTATATGCTCTCTTTAAAACCCATGGTCTACATTATCAAGCCTTGTTAACGAATCTTAACTCCGTTTGATGAATGCCTCGAATTTGACATAATTCTGAAGTTCTCAATGCAAAATTGATGATGCAAAATTTTCAAAAGTCAGTAAGTTATCTTGATTAAGATTGTGCCATGGCTATGGCATTGTTACTGTCGATTAATCAAACACATGATCATGAATCACTCTCTAGAATCGAACCCAACATTATTATGAAGTCAATATCAAAATATTGTCGCTAGTTTACACAAAGGATAGCCCTTGGTAAGAAAAGAAAATGTGAATAAACAGGTATTTGGAAATCGGATTACAAATCAGTAAATACCATTTCATAACAAGTGCATTTTAAGTGTATGTGAACCCTTGCCATTTGGACCAAACTCCTCGTGTTCATGTAACCGCCAGACAAACGATAATAAGTGAACGAAAAATATATAAAAAGAGCCAGTAGACATTGTTGTTCTAAATTAGAGTTTGGTGCACACTCTATTACAAACCAGGGCATGTGAAGAAATAAATTTTGGTCATTAAATTCATTTCATAACAAACTCTTTTAGGTGGTACTTGTTTTTATAATGAACATTCATGATTACTTGTATATTATATTATATTATATTATATTATTACCACCTTGCCGGACCAGTTCTAGTGGTTTTTAGTGCTAGTTAGAAGGCATTCATTTTACTTTATCAACCTGAGCAATATGTGACGTCATAGTGGCGGCTAATATAGTCGGTCAAGATTCAAGCATTTAACGACCGGGAAAATCAAGGGAAAGATCAATACCCGGTGATTTCAGCGGGAAGCGGCGTTTCGTTCAGTGGATGAGCTGCGCGCGCACGCATAAATGTGATTATCCAATATATTTAGAGGAGGGCTATTTGAAATAGTTTTGGTCTCAGGCGCGACCCAGGGCTGTTGTCTTAAGGACATTTCGTTGAAAATGAGCCATTCGGCTGATAATTGGTAATAGTTTGCGATCTTATAATGTATAACTGTTACTCAGACACATATTTTGACACGATTCTGTTGGATATAAGCTTTGAACCGAGAGATATTCACGATTGATATGCACATTTTTGATTGTGCCATTGCTTTTCCATTGCACAATCCATGTATTGATAGAAGTAACATTAATAATGCAGATTGTTTACCTTCAATACATGGCAGACACTACATATCGGTCTATTAATATTAAAATTTTAGAATGATCAATCAGGCAATGGTCCAAATCAAGTTATAACATTATATGATATTCAGCAAGAAGTCCGGTAGAAATACAGAATATTTAAACATCAAAGCTGAAAGTTAAAAGCTAATCTGTCAATTTTCTGTCTGCAAAAGAGCGTTTACATTTGACACAAAAACAGACTGAGGCTTTGAAATCTAGGATTCCCAAGGAAAATATGACGTCATACTAATTAGCATAAGGATTTCCCTATTGGTCTGGGTCGAGCCTTGTTCGAAAACACAATCCATAAATACATGCTAATTTCTAAGGAGATAGGAAGTGTATAACGTGTTTATCGATTTTGTTTAAAGATTTAATCAATTATCAAATTGTTTAAGTGGATAAAGTGGGCACACTTGCTTCAATTCATAGCGTAATCGACGGATAGAAACTGACCGAATTCCCGATATCCTACCCCGTATTACTGTAGGCTATTAAGCACAGTGACCTACAGAGGGCGCTATCACAAACAAGTACTGCGCGAACCGATAAATTCCCGGGCATTGTAACGCCCTTGGGAAAATTAGATATCGTTCAGTGCGTAAGATTTTCTTGCTGTTTCAGTCCTGGTTATTATTAACGGTGGTAATAATACTAATAACGTCATTTCTGCGGGCAATATAAGTGAAATATTGGACCTTAGGCCTTCAGCCCTCGGTCCAATATTTCACAATATTGCTCTCCGAAATGACGTTATTGCACTATTAAATCGTATTATATTCTATTACATCACGTAATATCATATCATACTACACCCCTTCCATATGATCACAGCCGTGGCACTGACTACCACGGAATATTACTGATCATTTCAGTAAAAATGATGACCTTATCCCTCAGAAATGAAGATTGTGTTCCACAGATAGTTTTGCGTGCCATGCGACATCGCCCAGTCTCTAGGAAATTGATTTTATTTTCTAGTTACTAATCGTATAATTGTGGATAGAGTGGTTAGCGACCCAACCTCCTTTGTTTACATTCGCAAAACTGTGAAAAAACTAGAAAAGTTGTCAAGATATTTTAAAAACTCAATAAATGGAACCGATTTCACTTGTAAGGTTCTACATGAAATGAGCAGATCAATGCGGTTCGTAATATCTTCAAATGAGCTATCTCTCCAGTTGAAGACATTCAATCAAAGACCACGTGTTACACTGGAGTGATCACGCATAACGTATTGAGCTCACTCGATTATCATTCCGGTGTAACACGTGGTGTTTGATTGAATGTCTTCAACCACTTCATACCATTGCAGGTTATACCTTCCCAATATACACGTACAACTCTCCTCCATAAGTTTGGCAACCTTAGCTCCCCATTGAACTACGTGTTAAAGCCTCTGTACGTTTGAATTTTTATTTACTTAACTGGCGATGAAATGACTTATAATATTGATGGAAACGTAACTTGACTTTATTTCCAATACCCCCAAATTTTCTCAATTTTTTCCTCAATTACAATATGTCGAAAACTTATGATAAATTTGATGAATTTTTGAAAATCGTCATTCCCATGGAATCCAATTGGAAATTGGGGGTTCGGGGCAAATTAAAAATCAGGATATCTTTTCAGTAAAAGATTCAGCAAAAAATATTTTTATATAAAAAATTGAATTGTCCAACTTTTATGTACACTAAGTGTTTAGTTTATTTCATGAATACTAAAGTTACAGCGCTTCAAAGTCATTTTTGAAAATAATTTTTCGCCTCCTGTGTTATTTCAATGGGAGAGGTATTTTGAAAAACAATTTTGACTTTAAAGCCCTATAACTTTGTTGAACCTGAAGAAACTTATCAATTTTTTATTAAATAAAGTTAGCAAATTCAAATGCCTGCCTAACTCGTATTTTTTGCAAGGACCCGGATGGATGGATATTCTGTCATATGACTTGCGGCAAACCTACCACTTTCCATTGGTTAACATGGGAATGTCGATTTTCAAAAATTCATCAAATTTATCATCAATTTTCGACTTATTGTAATTGAGGGAAAAATTTTAGAAAATTTGGAGGTATTGGAAATAAAGTCAAATTACGTTTCCATCAATAGCATAAGTATTTTCAGCGAAGGTTAAGTAAATAAAAATTCAAAGGTAAAGAGGCTTTAACACGTAGTTCAATAGGGGAGCTAAGGTTGCCAAACTTATGGAGGGGAGTACCATATAACCAGGTCTTTGTTTTAACATATACAGCAGTTTGATAAGATTTTATGGCTTCGTAATGATTTATCTCTCAAAATGTTATGTTTCCGATTTCATCACATATCAAGATTGAGATGTTAAGCTTAAATACTTATTTAAATGTTTCTAACCCACAGGTTTGGACAACAAAGAATTTGCAGCCTGTGTAGGATATGGGTCCACCCCAAAGCGAGCCAATGTCTACAACTTCTCTGCTGCACTTACGATTGCACCAATGAAACAGCTTTGGATCAGGAAAACTACCACGAATATCACTTCTGAAGCTGATGTCAATGGAAAGAAGATCGGTAAGGAAATGGTAACTTTTTTCACAGAGTCAAACAATTGTTTTTCGATATATAACAAATATAAAATCATACCAACCTAGAATTTGAAATCACTATTTTTTTGAAAGACTTAAGTTTGTCTATGCTGTTATATTAATGGCGTGCTATCATATGTTTCTAGCTATACCTGGACCATTAACACAATATGGACAGTATGACGCAGCTTGTCTACAGCGCGTCTGGCCTGATGTTGTCCCAGGGGAGATCATTGAAACAGCTGCTGATGATATAGAACTTATAACGCAGCTTGTGAACAAAGAGGTAACTGCAGCAGAACAAATATGTTAAAATCTTAAAATTTATATCAGAATACTATAAGTTTCCTATCTCTACCTGTCCCTTGTTTGATGCAGCGCTAAGTCACACTAAAAACAGCAACTTTACGGAGTAGCAAATCCCACCGAACTAAACATGTTTTGATAAATAGCGGCCATCTTCAAAATTATCGAAGATTACGTTTTTTACGAAAAATGCCGGCCATTAGGAAAACAGCTGTCGTCTTTAAAGTTTCTTCTCAAGCAAAGCTTCTTTGTCCCATGACATCAGTACGTAGAATATGAACCAAATCCGTCCACTGGTATTTGAGTTATCAAAGATTACGTTTTTCACCAAAAATGGTGGTCATTATGAAATTCAGTGGCCATCTTGAAAATGTCTTCTTCTTTGAGTTGTCAAAGTTTACGTTATTTTAGGAACAATTGCGGCCATTTTGAAATTAAACCGCCATCTAAAGCCTTTTCTAGGCGTTACGTGTAGAAGACAGATTCAATAAAAGACAAGTCTCGATTTGGAAAAAGAAGGAATATAGAAATATCACCCAAATTAAATTATAAATATTCAAAAGAGGACATTTAAATCTACAATATGTAAACCTATCAAAATTGCCCAAAGCAGGCGTAACATGCAGTGCAGTAGACTGATGAAATTCGTTCTCAACATCGAGACTAGTCTTTTGAACCAAATCTGTCAACTAGTCTTTTCAATTCAATTCAATTCAAAATTCCATCATACAATATTTTATATATAACATGAAATAGACACCCAAAAGGGGCGTATACATTCCATCGGTTTTAATTTTAGATACGTAGTCGTAGATCAAAAGCTAAATGAACCAAACTGAAAGAGAAAGGTGCAAGCATAAATTATCATTGGTATTACTTGATAAGACAATTTTTATCAGTTTTTCGAATTCTTTCACGTGCTTTGCCTTTTTAAAATTCATAGCCAGTGAGTGATATAGGATTGCTCCTATAATCGCAATTGATTTTCGACCAGTTTCAGGTTTAACCCTTTTGATTGTTAAATTATATTTGTATCTACTGGTATCATGGGTTTGATGTCTGTCTTCTCTTGAAAAAATGTTTGAAATTACGAAATGGGAAATCTGCAGATTCTGTAAAAGTTTTCTGAACAAAAGTGAGTGTTTGCAATTTATTAATGTCAAAAATATTTTATATTTGATTTATTTATATTGAGTAGCCATATTGGAAATTTCTTTTCAACCAGAGGTCCTTTTTCAATGAGGCACTGACTTTAAAATTTGATTCCAATCTGTCAACCGGTATTTGAGTTATTGCCCGGACAGACGAACGAACGCACGAACCGACGGGCGGATGTCTTCTTTATATCCTACTCTTATTACGTTCGGTGGGGTAATTAAGTCCAATATGCAAGATTACTATTCATATATTTGGTGATGTCGGAAGAATAGTCAAATATGGCAGCACAGTCCCCTGTTGTAGAGAGAATAACAAGTATGACCTATCTCCTTACACAGGCTGACATTGCTATGGGACCCGTGATTCCAATGGATGCTGATGCTGAAACACAAGAGGCCATAAAGGATATCCAACGATTTGGAGAACCATTCCACTGCGTGAAAGATGGAGTATTCCAGATGATGCACCGTAAGGATGAGGATATGAGATTGTTCAATATGTGCTACTGGTATGGGGTTGTCAGGACTGGTGAATACAAAAAAATGTGCGAAAAGTACGGTACGTGTACATGTTAAGTTATAATATTATCATTATTGGTATGGTTTATTCAGTTTCTTGGATGGCTATTTAGTGTTAAAATGGGACAATACAGCCGTTATTTAAACGTTACTGTTACTGCGAATGAACATATGCATTATTTTTAATTATATTCAAAGATTCTAATCGTGGCTTGTTTTATTACAGGAGGCTTGGTGAAAGAATTGTGTATTGATTTCGAAGCTTGGATACGTGAAATGAATATGGATCCGAACCCACCTATGCAAGATGGTATGATGGGTGATATGTAAAAGAGATGCCCAAGCGAAACACAATGATAAATCATCTAATTATAGAACTTTGAAGCCAACATAACACAATGAACAATATAATTATCAATGCAAAGCCGTTTTTTACGTATTTGTATTTTGTACAACTCTCATGTAGACTATTTGCAATCCAGTCACATACATTAAATCACAACGGATCAAAACGATTTTGGAATCACCTGGTATGGTTGTTTAATCATTGTTTATAATAAATTAAAGTGGTTATTTACAAATGCGAACTGTTGTTCTGTCTGATTTATAAAATAATCAGTGAGATCTGATCGAGAATTGTCTCATAGAATTTGTTGCAGGATAATTATATATCATATGAACAACAAAAATGGAAAACATTTTCTCATTACTTTGTATCGTGGATGTGCAACGGGTGTTAGAATGTATTTCTTCTCACATTTTTTCTATTCTGGGGTGAAATAAGGGCAATATATATTATATCCGAAGCCTAGATTCACTTGTTATTCTTGCAAAGGACGATTCTCGGTTTGGAGAACAGTCTCCTGGGCTAATAATTTTTTTCATGAAAAATATAGAAATATTACCCAAATTAAACTATGAATATTCAAAAGAGGACATTTAAATCTACAAGATGTAAAAATAACAAATTGGTCTGAAGCAGGGATAACGCTCAATTAGACCGATTCAATAAAATACAAGTCTCGATTTGGGGAAAAAAGTTCATCAGTGTACTGCGCTTATATTTTTTTGCGAAAAATCTAGAAATATTACCCAAATTAAATTATGACTATTTAAAAGAAAACATTCAAATCTATATTATGTAAAAAAATCAAATTTTTCCGAAGCAGGGATAATGCTCATTTATATTGATGAACTTCGTTCTCCAAACCGAGAATCGTCCTTTAAATTCAAGTTTTTCTTAGAAAACCTCATCTGTTCCTCAGCTAACCAGCTTTCTAATTATGTAGCCAGCAACTAGCACCATCTATATAAAAGGATCCGTCAATGAGGTATATCCAGAACTTGGGCAATATCAAAACAGTAAAAAAAACGAATTCCATTAAGACCATGAAACAGTGTCAAAACATCCTAAAAAGACCCTGAATATGTATGTAAAAAAATGAATTCCATAAATACAATAAACTTGTGTGTAGAAAAACAACAAAAACAAACAATTGAACCCTAACCCTAAGACCATCATTATGTGTGAAAAAATGAATTCCATAAATACAATAAACTTGTGCGTCAAAAAATGACTAAAAATTAATTTAATTAACCCTAACTCTATTAAACAAGATGGGTTTTAAATGATTACCTAACCCTGACCTGCCCGCTGAGAACACAGGGCGCGTACCAGGCCCTATGATACAGGGTCCACTTGGCAGGAGCGGCGATCGCGTACCAGACGTGTACCAGAGGCGAATGTCGCTCCTGCCAAGTGGACCCAAATAAACAATAAACAATATCATTAGGGTCTGGTTCGCGATCGACGCTCCTGCCAAGTGGACTTTGTATCACTGGGTCTGGTACGCGAGCGCTGCTCCTGCCAAGTGGACTCTGTATTATTAGTATAGGGTCTGGTACGCGATCGTATATTCATGGTCCTAGGGTTAGCGTTGAATTCATTTTTTCCAATACTGTAGAAAATGCAAAGTGACCAATATTGCTCTGTTTGATGAATTCGCTATTAGCATATTGAATCCTAAATATGTTTTATTTCATGAAGATCAAGCCACTATTGACTATCTTAGAAATTTTAAAAGGTAAATTACTTTCACAAATGTGAAAGAAAAACCTATTTCAAAAACAACTTGTTCAAAACATTTGAGTTTTTTGGAATGTTTCGTCAATGTACGTGCAAACTATTGACAATTTGATGTTGTTATAAATCTATCCAAAGGACCATATGAGGTATGGCAACTGATTTTAGGCGGTCATATCTTTCACAATCAGTACTTTCTGGCCATAAATTCAATGATTTTTATTTAAAGGGTTCCGATTAGCATCCCGTATAAAAACAATATGGCGGCTCCAGGTGAATCAACTGGATCAGTCCATTTTTAAGAAATAAGGGGAGTTCTGTAAAATCCAGTTTATTGAAATTGTCTTTGAGATAAAGTAATCCGTTTATAATGATTTTGAAAACGTTATCCAAAGAGTGATTGCGTTCAAATAATACATGTACAACAGCCAATATAAATTCTTGTATTAGGAACCGGTTTGTCTTGCTTTGTTTCATTTGTAGGATATTTCATATGCCAAGCTGTGTGCTATTACGTTATGGGGAAATTTAGATGCCAATTTTTCCTTATTATACACAAATAGAAGATCCTGAAACTTCACCCATAAATGTGGAATTGATTTGTCAAAATAAAAATCACCCTTTTATAAATGTGTGACGATCTATAATATACTTATGCTATATAACAGTTAGAGGTGTTAACACAACGACCTCGAACCTGTGAACCTTCGAGTATTATTCCGGGATCGGGCCTTTTATACTAAACGGTGAGCAACACCAGAAACGAGCGTTCGATTTGCTAAACGATATGCGTCACCCTTTAAACAGATTGTTTTCTTTCAAGTTTCTCCAACACCATATTAACAATTTCTGATAAGGAATGGGTATTGAAATGAGCTGAACATAAGCACTGGTGATCCGCTCGATACGCTGGTTACCGAAACGGTTCGTTTCGGTAACAAAATGTCGGAACGTAGAAGGTACGATGTTTATTTTTTCCTTATTTCACGTGTTGGCAGAATCACCACGACATTTTTCTCAAAACGTGTATCAGTATCTTATGTTTTAGAAAATGTACATGTTTGCGAAAAAATAGCTCAGAAGACAACAGAATTGTAGATTTAATTCCTCACTAAGTTACATTTAACGATATGGGTTAAAAATGCAGATCTTAACCGTTTTTTTAAAATACCTTGTATGTAACTTTAGTGAGGAATCAAATCGACGATTCTGTTGCCTCCTGAACTATTTGTTCGCAAATATGTATATTTTCTTTAACATAAGATACTGATACACATCTGTGATAAAAATGTCTTGGGAATTCTGCCTACAACGTGTGAAATAAGGAAAAAAGGAAAATCGTACCTTTGACGTTCCGACATTTTGTTACCGAAACGAACCGTTTCGGTAACCAGCGTAATCGAGTGGATCACCAGTGATAAGCCCACATATTCCAGTTTATTTTTCCACAGGGGAAAACATGCTATCCATTGTTTTCAGCATAATTTTGTTCATCGAAAATTGATATCTTCAAAACTCGTTGTTCAATACCAATCTACTTTTGAAGAAGTTATGACTTCTTGTTGAATCTTTCCATGCAGTAAAAATATAAATCAGAAAAAGAAGATCCTCTTTTGAGTAAATAGGTTCATTGATTGATATTCTCTCATCATTTGGACTTTACTTTAAGAAAACATATTGTTTCATAAAAATACATTTTTATATGGCATATATTTAGTTAGAACTATGATCAAAACATAGGCAGGACAGAAACTAATGTTAACAAAATCTACTATGCTGTGAATTATTAAAATTGCTTCGCAGAACCTGTAACCACGTTACCATGACAACCACCATTTTGGTATTATTCAGTATATCTCAATATAGATCTTTTTGATGAATGACGAAAAATAAAGGTTTGAGGGCAAAATTAGCTTTACTTATTGAATGCCCTGTATAATTCATTATATCTAAAAACAACCAGAATATCAAACATTCCGACGTATTTCTTGTATAGTAAAATATAAAACGTACAAAATATAATAATATATATTTACATAACTATAATATATAATACTTTTTGACTTTGAGCTATTTAATAATTGTCTCTTTGAATCATTCATAAAAAGAGAAAAGCTCATAACACTATTTATAAATATAACATAAAACTCAAACATCACGAGACGTTTACACTATGTAGAATACCAATGTAAGATAGATGTGTAGTGGTAGATATAAATACACTGATAAAATCACTATAAGACTAGAGTATCATTTATGATTGTCCTTTCCTTTGCTGTTCATTGAAAAAAGTTTATTTGTATTTTCATCCATGTATTTTATACGAATACGAGGCGTCTGGATTGTATATAGATCACAATGACGATGGTTGTAATGTATGTTCGATTTTCACATGAATCACTATGATTATGTATTGTCGGTGGTAACTTCCTAACACGTTAGTGTGCTGCCCTACCAATTCCTTTTTGCTTCATATCATGAAGACGATCGGTTTTAAATAACTGGAATAGATGAATAAAATGTTCTTACTTGGTACATGCACCAGTTGACGTACTGAAATATGATCATACTTTTCTTTAGTATGGAGACAATTTCAAGTACACAAAAATGAGTAAAAACTAATATTCTAGAAAATGAATACTTTGAAATTCTCTAAGAAAAACTCAAAATCATAAAAAATGTCTCGGAAATATGCCTTTGACATACTTTTGAACAAAACTTATTATTGCATTTACCTTCCCGAATCATTTTTGTTCACTGTAACTCGCGCACGATCGGATTATGTAACTAACTGGCTCCTCGACAGCTCTCTCTTTACCCGTCTTTAGCTAACCCTCCTCAAGTACATCTGAAAAAATGCCTCTCGACCAAATGACTCCAAAGGAAGTTGTAAATAGTATACAATTCATTCTGATATCTCTTGCATATTTACTCTAGGTTTGAAATAAAAATTTGGATAATGTTTATGTTCATGTCTTTTCGATTATAGCCTAGTTACCAACGAAGACGATGTCATAGCTAACACGGGTCAACATGTGACCATTAAATGATAAAATGTGATCGAGTCTGTCTTCTTTGAATAACAGGCATAATCGGTATGTTTACCTATTTGACAAGGTTAGAGGTCTAACTAACGTCAAAATGTTTGGCAAGCATCTATTTTGGTTTTATCACACCACTATATTGGCACATTAGACCCGATGGAGACATCGATGCGATGATGCCATCAAAGTAAACGTGAACCAATGTAATGGGTTTGCGAAAGACATAACTTCACATTTGTCTTTATCCGATGGGTTTTGTTAAGACCAATCTGATAAAGGGCCAAACGTCAAGAGTTACGTAAGCTTAGAAGTGCGTTAATCAGCGTAGACATGTGTTATTACACAGTGGTTACTAATACAGTTAGAAGACGTCACAATACTAGTATTATGTATCTAACGCTGAAATAAACGCTGCATACAGGGTATCTCTGAATTCGAAATTTCAAAATTAGAATATCTACTATTATAATATGTTTTTAATTTTTTAAATATGATGTATTTATCTTTACAATATGAGTGTGTATTTGAAGAAACGTTGTACAAAAGGTTATACCAAGAATGTTGACTGTAACTCTGCATAACTCGGTTTTGTTCAGTCCAAGCGACTCTTGGGCCACATTACAAGTAAAAACTTGACCGTCTACTACAGAGGAAGCAGATTTAGTGACAGAGATGCTCTTTCTGGCAGTTGTGCTGAAAATACAACCGGAGTGAAAAAGTAATGAAAATTAATGAATATCATATTAAAATGAAGATCATGAGAGATGGATAGTATTAGACGAAATATTATTGAAAATTAATGACAGTCAGGTGCCGTGATATAAGGACTATGACAACTTTTTAAGATATGATGTATCAATTAGCTCTAGAATTAACTTACCTTGAGTCCGTTATCACTGTTTCCTCAACCCCGTCTAGTTCAATCGTAACAATTGGTTCTTGGGATGTATCCCCTGCGCCGAAGAATTCAATTGAACAATCCACCGTAAAGTCATCTCCACCAGGTACTACGGTCAATATTTCTGCAGCACATGTCACTGGGTCTAAGGATAATAAGATACGATTCGATCATTTTCAGCGCATAAAATGAAAAATATATTTTAATGAGGTTTCTCTATTGAAATTAACTACATCATTCCTCGTTGCTGGTTGTGCTCTGAGATATTTTCAGCGTGTCTTTATTTAGTCTAGTGCACTTTGGTTTGCCTGTTTTTAGCAAGACAAAGTGATAAATATCGCACTTTGAAGAGCAATAATAACCATGTAATTTACCCAGCATGCTATGCTAAAAACCTGATCGGATCACTTTAAAAGTGAGAAAATGAAATTTGTAAAAAAAATATCAAACGAGTCTTACTTAGAACAACGACGTTTGCCTCGCCCAAATAATTCCCAGTCATAATGTCTTGACAGGCATAATACCCAGCATCTTCTTCTGTGATATCATCAATCGTCAGTGTAAATGTAGTTCCGGTTTCTATATCAAAAGTGGGTTGACCAGGGTCAGTGTTTGCAACAACGTTTTCATTTACAGATATTCTACTGTTGCCAGCTGCAGTCAATCTATCACTATTCCCTATCCATGACACAAATCCATATACACCAGTGTCTACATTACACTCCAGTTCCACGGATGTTGAGCTGACGCCATCCAATAAAATGTATGTATCAGTTGGCCCTGGATTGGCTATAACTGGTAATGCTATAAAGCAGAGTACAATCAGCATTATCAATAAGTTCACAATGAAACATGTACATCATTACTCATTAATAGGAGATCTTGGTCAATGAACAATCCTTGAGTTTTAGAAAAAAAACTATTTAGTAAAGTGAAAAGTTTTCCATAAGTACTGGTATGAGTAACGGTGAACACAATACTTATATTTTTATGCCTCAGTCATATCCATGCTATAGCGATTGTGCACTCTACGGCCAATCGCAATCCTTCGACCGCTGTAATATCCCCACAGTCGTATATACAGGTTTGCGATCAGTTTGGCGCTTACCACCCTATCACACCAAACTAGTTCTTACCCGTTCTTGCCAGTCCTACGAAAATGTCGTAAAACGGGCTCAATCTGGCTGCGGTCGGGATATATGTCTAAAATAATTAGCTACTTCGTTCATAAACAGTCTTCAATACGTCCATCTCATTTGCAGCTCGTTCAGGTCGCACCACGTCGGTGTGAAACGTAGTATAAACCGTCCCTTAGTCTAGAAGGTCATCATGACCTGATTACAGAACGGCATGGTCGCCATCGGATTTTGAATCGATTCAAAATTCTAAATCACATTCCCCGTCCGGGAAAGTCCATGAAGTTCGTAAACAGACCGTAGAACGTTGTAGCTACGTTCATTCAGTTCGCACACAGTTTAAAATCAGTTCTGAAGAACGCAGTGGCAACTTGTTTGGTGTGATAGCTATATTTTTGCTAACTCGTCCATAAGCAGTCTTTAATACGTTCTTAATCAGTTTAATCCCGTTTGCAATTAGTTCTACCTCGTTCTCAATACGTCCTCAGACAGTTCAACTCGTTGTAAAAACGTCCCTAGTAGGATTGAAGTACGACGGTTCCGTTCGTAGTACGTCCAGCTCGTCGTTAGTACGTTGTCACTCGTTCTAATTGTAGAACGTAACGACCACGAGATCATTTTGAGCAAGTTCTAAGTTCTAAATGACCTACCCGTTCAAGTACGTTTGATGAAGTTTGTAAATAGACCCCAAACGGTTCTAAGCACGTCCAGTTCAGTCGTACACAGTTGAAGCCCGTTTTCGAGAACGTAATGAGAACTAGTTTGGTGTGATAGTAGGGTAAGCACGGTAACGTTTTCAAAGATGGCTTATACATGAAAAAGATTACAACTCCTTGCTATCATTTCAACGCGCCATACGGTCTGTCAAAAGTGGGATACGTCGCACGGTGACCTTGAGGCGACCGTAATTCTTTTTTTCGATTATCTGAGTTCGCTGCCATAGAGTAGCCATAGAGCAAATGTGACCGAGGCATAAAGATAATAAAATATGTTATATTAAGTATAATTTAAATGGTTTCAAGCTTAATTTTACGTTCCATAAATTGACAAAGGCAACTACAAACAGAATGTTATCAAATTGTTATGTAACGGAAGCAGTTGTTCATAGGTATGGTCTTAATCTTCACAGCTTCGATTGGAAGACTGTCCAACAGAAAAACTATACAGATGCAACTAAAAAGGGCTCACCAGTGACATCTAATTTAATGTGACATATGTTTTGTTCTGTAATTTGAGGACTAGTTTCATCGCCTTCCAAAAATAATCGGCAATCGAAATATATCATATCCATTTCGTTTCCAGCAGTAAATGTGTAGGTCGATGACACTCTTCCATCTACACTAGAAACAGGAGCTGGTTTAGATGTGTTTGTTCCCGTCACCGTAATTCCTGATGTCACTAAGTTGTTATTTACATACCAAAGTATTTCTGGTACATAGGGAGAATCGTACGATTGTGCTCCATAGTAATCAGCAGAGCATTCGAGAGAAACTTCGTCTCCCTCCGTTACAGGTACGAACAAATTAGCACACGGCTGGGGATCTGTAAGAGATCAATTTTAGTTACCCAAAACAAAATAAGACAAAGTAATCACAAGGATACTGTGATTTAAAGGAAAGGAAAGAACTTTGGTCAATGAGGCCATGAACAAAATATCACAAATTAAGTTATGAATTCCTACACAAATATAATGACTTCATAAATTAAAGAGAACAATGGACATTAAGAATTCCTAACTTTACAAAGTTTCTGCAAATGTATTCCTTGGACAAATTATGCCAACCAGTTGCAATTGTAATCAGAAATTAATCTACTCTGGAAAACGGATGAATATCAACGCTAAAATTTGACATTACTGTTAGATAATGAGATTAAGTAGACCTTACCAACGACGGTCAGATATGCTATAGCAAGGTCCTCAGTTGGTACAAGGGAGGAACATACGTATCGCCCAGCGTCGGCCTTTGTTGCATCAATAATTGTGATGTCATAAGTATTTGCTACCGAGTAGCTTCCAAATGGTGCTGTGGCCTCTATGTCGCCGTTATGACTTATCTTATACGTGCCACCAGTTTCTTCCGTGAATGCATACCTAAAAGAAAAGTAAGATTATGAGCTGTCGTCATAGTGATCACGTACATATCGCTGTCGTCAAAGTGATCACGCACATATCGATAATGGCTGGAAATACCATCATTTAAACTGTAAATGTTTACTTCGGTAATTGTAAAACGTTCGAGGGTAATACAACTTCCAATGAGCAACAAACTGGCTAATAACACGATAGGGTTACACTGGGGTGCGTACATATTGACAGGTTTAAGACCCGATCATCAAAATAGACAACTGATCATTTTGTTGTGTCCTAATCTTACCATGCAACGGCTGGTAAGGTTCCATCGGTGGCGCATTCAAATGTGATATCAGAGGTCGTGTCAGGCAAAACAATCGCTTTATCCACAGGTTGTTGAGAGAGCACTGAAATGAAATATTTATTGACACTTTATTACTTTGGTGTTCCTCATTCCACTTTGAAATATATCTTTTGTTTTATTCAAAAAAATTATCAATAGTCTTTTTTTTATAAAATATGTTATTCTCTTTCTTATCACTTAAATAAAGAGTAATAATGTTTTGCAAGTTGACACGAGTTTCAACCTTATACGACGTTTTGCTAAATAAATCATACGTATTAGTATTAATTAGTACTCATTCTAATCGACATATAGGTAGGTAATAATACATATGTGTGCATTAGTTACCTGTGCCATAATTTATGACTATTTCAGCATATTGGTGAAAAGTATATTCATATGATATACGATGTACAATGTAAAGGGGTTTGTCACTTGTCTAAAACGTATTTTTGAAATCATTTGCAATTTGTGGTCGCAATTGGAGTAGAACTCGTAGTGATTTGAAGGTGCAACACCTAAATTAACATTAATTGGTGACAAGTAAAGTAGCAGTGAGCTTTTTTTTTTTGGGGGGGGGAGGGGGCTCGTGTAATACCCTCTCAAATAAAAATTCACGAAGAAGTCATATAAAAAGAAGAATTCACATTTAATAAGAATAAGAGATGAGAGTTTTAATGGCATCGTTTGACTGTTTATTTGTGTCAATAAAGTGGTAAATAATGTTTTGAATGGTCCAAGATGTATTCACCTTTCAAGAAACACTTTACAATTTAGCTTCATGTGATGAAGGATGAGTTGTCCAGGGGATGAGTTGTCTAGGGGATGAGTTGTCCAGGGGATGACTTGTCTAGGGGATGACTTGTCCAGGGGATGAGTTGTCCAGGGGATGAAATGTCCAGGGGATGAGTTGTCTAGGGGATGAGATGTCCATGGATGAGTTGTCTAGGGGATGAGTTGTCCGTAAGCCCATAGTGAGTGAGTGATACTGTTCGAAGGATAGAGTGTTGTTTGTCACGACATGAACACGCAACACATTTTTAAACACAAAATAGAATTTTTATAGTTAAACATTTGATCTTTTTAATAATGGTTTATTTTTGTCAAGTTAAGAACGATTTACTTTATTCCACGTTATTATACAGTGCATATAAAAAAACGCAACAGATTGTTAATTCGGAAAAGCACAAAACCAGTGACAATTCAGCATTGATTTCATTCAATGTACCATGTGTCTAGATCTCCTCTTAACAATGGTATATCATTCGTAAGTAAGGCGAGTAATTATTCCTTTTGCAAAGTGGGCTAAAATTAGCTTGGGACGAATTTATAAACATTGCAAAAGTCAGTGTACGGGGCCCACTGCAATTTTGGAAGAAAGTATAAAACCAATGATGACTGCATCCTTTTCATTCAATGTACCAAAAAGCCAAATTACTCCTCTTTGCAATGGAATATCATTCATTCACAGGGAGTCATGGTTGGCCGAATAATCATTCATTTCGCAAAGTGGGGCAAAATTCAGCTTGGACCTAAGTTTTAAACATTGCATAAGACATGCATGGGTCATAAGAGCTATTGGAAAAAGGTGTGACAGGTGTGGCATAGACAGTAAAGTGTTCATACTCATACTCTTGCAAGAATACATCCTATTACCCCTCCAAATTGCCACCACTTCTTTGCACATAAAGATGCACTCATATCTCCACGTCATACATGGTTCAACCCTGAGTCATCTGTGGATTAAAGCGAAGAAAAGCAGCCCATGGGCTCGAAGTTTTGCAATATTTGGTGGGGAAATTGTGAGCACAGCTGCTCTTGAGATAGCTCCAAAAGAAAAAGTCACAACAATTCAAGTCAGGAGAACTTCCATGTGCACTTAGCCCTTGCACTATTTTTTGCAATATCTGAAACTTGAGCCGATTTTGACCCACTGTGCAAATGGGAGGATTTCTCACCCAACCATGACCACATGTGAATGAATGACATATCATTGAAAGAGGAGGGATGTGGCTTTATGGTACATTGAATGAAATTGATGTAGTCATCACTAGTTTTGTGATTTTACGAGATAACTAATTGATGCGTTTTTTTGATACGCCATTAGGGTGCAATTTTAGAACATTTACATGTCTTTGATCGATCGCGTACCTTTTCCTCATTTGTTTGGGGTTTTTAATGGCTGGGATCAATCTATTTCGCTATATCTTAGCGTTTGTGATCTCGCTTAACGAGCTCTGTATTTAACAGAGGCAAAACTCACTTCCTTTCAAAATGTAATTCGTATCTTTTGTTGCATCGAGCAAAGTAAAGAACTTTAATTATGTGCGATCCATTCTGAACCCGAGGTTGTGAAATCACGTCCCTTTAAGCGTGATTATTTTAAGGCATATTGTAATTTTTATTTAGTTGTCACACTACTAGTTAGGATCAGTGGTCCGTTCATTGTGTTTAAAACTAATATTTTAACAAGGGTTCAGAACTTTTAAAATGTAACACATTCAAAATTGTAGCGTGAATAGATTATTGGAAACAGGGCTATCCAGTTTCAAACTTCCTGTCTTCATTTTACATTTTCTTTATATTCATTTTGTATTTTCAATACATTCAAAATTCAATTATACAAAGGGGTTCATCCTTTTTAAAGATAGTGATTGATGTCAAAATGAAGCTCCACTCCTACAAATAACTTAATTTTTTATAAAATACGTTGCAATTTACTTACATTCACGTTTAGATCTATGGTGACTGCCACTATATAGTTGGGGCTTTAGACCGTTGCTCCTCAAAAATCTATCGAATCTTCTTAGCCTTTTGAAATCATCAGATTCGCCTTCATATTCTATCGCGCTAACAAAATGCAGATTTGTACCATTTCTATTGTTAACATTTTCCTTGATGTTATTTCTGGGAATGATTGTGTCTGGTACATCATTTTTTAAAGGCCACAGGTGTGTCAAATCGGGAAAGTAAAGAATTGTTTCTCCCACTGTCGTGAAGAGAATTTCCTTTTTAAATATTGCACTTGGGTCTACAATGTCTTTGCACCCTGTATCACACATTGGATATCCACCAGGAACAGCCCCATTGGTCTTATCTTGGACGCCATTGTTGAGACAGCAGAAACATTCTAATATAAGGAGGCAAATAACAGGTTCAGCCATAGCTTCTCAAACGATGAATCCCAAAAGAATTTTGTTTGTGTAATTCTCGAGCGTTAAATATTGATTGTCCTTTTTAGACTTCCTCACACAGTTGACTTTTTCATCAACATGAATAAACATTTTTGTCTCAGATTTTTCGGTGTTAGCGCATCCTGAAAAAGAAAGGCATGGTTACATTTCCGATCTTCACAACCTACATGCCATCCCAATACTGCATAAAATTATTTTACAATATTTACAATAGTTTATTTTGCAATCGCGTGTCATTCTGGGATCGAACAACTAAAAGTATAAAACATTGCACTGCGGTATCCAGAACAGATATTTGAGAAGCAGTACATTGGTTTTATTGTGGAATTTTTCAGTTGCTCCTATAATAAAGAAATAATTTTATGAAAAATAAATCTATATTTATCCTCTGAAATTCTCATTCACAAGCTTCAAAATGAGCCATAATGTTCTCTCAAAAACAAATCATTTGAATCTTAAGTGACTGTAGATGGCCGGGGTACTATGCAAATCTTAATTAATCTCTCAGGCTTCACAACAACAAACGCATTATTTATTCATTGTATGATACGATGGCATCTCCTTTCAAGGTACGATCAAGTACTCGAAATAAATTATTCAGGGAGTAGTTATTTCAAATATCAGCAGAGTGTCTCGTGAAAAAGATATGTAATTACGCTACATTCGTCTTCATTACTTCAAAGTATCTTTCAGTAAATGTTAAGCCCAGAGTTAACATGCCCCGGTACGTGTTAAATTTATTTTCCACCACACAACGCTTAAGGAGATTGCAGAAAGGTTAGTTAATACGGTTCAGGCGTTCTTCATCGTCTGATATTAATTTCAATATCTCACTAATGAAATTTATTGAAAACAGAGCATTTCCTCCAGTTCTCAGGACTTTGAATATGATGAGATAGAATTGTTCCTGTCGAACAGGAGTTACATGGACAATGTTCAGGTTCACACACGCAATTTGAGAATTACATAATCTATTTCGTAAACGACCCTTTGAGTCACAAAGAATAATGATTTACATTTTTATGAAAAAGGGCAGCCGTTTTGAATAAAGCGGCCATGTTGAAACTTCCATCTTATTCAAAATTATATGCCTTTTATTATAAGACATTAACATATTGAATTTGAACTAAAGGATATGTATCGATATGATGAATTCAACAATGTTTTTCTCTTAAACCAATTATTGAAAACATTCTGTAAAAAACACGGTCCTTTATGTAATGTTGACTGATTGGCAACAATTTAATGCAAAAATTATTTACAAATATTTTATAAAACTGTTTTTGCTAACATTTTTTGTTTTTAGTGCAATTGTTTTTGTTCCTTTTTACCAATTCCTGAGAATCAAATAAAATGTCTTTCTGAACCTTGTTGGAACAAATTAGCATATACAACATTTTGTTAGACCTCTCAATGTTATAGTTATACAAAGAAAATGTTGGTTGATTTTACAAAAAGTAAGCAAAAACTTGAAACAAAACCTCCCAAAATAGATAAAAATCAAGATAAACCTTTTATTTCATTAACAAGATACTTTTTTAAAATCAAACAAATTTTCATTTGTACAATTACAATATTGAGAGACCTAAACATATGGAATGTTTTCTGCTTCATTATTCGTATTTTACTATATGTATTCGTAAATTGAACTTCTGCATTTGTTGAATGCACATTTATGTTCGTAACTTTAGTATTTTCATTCATTTTTTGTATTTTCTGTTCGTGAATCTAATTTGTTTCGTTAAAACGTATATGTACGTGTTTTATGCCGAAATACATTCAAAATTCCTTATAAGCATTTGAAATAATTTATGGGTAATATGCAAGATTATTATTCGTGAAAATACATTTCTTCGATAAAATAACAGGCAACATTTTGAAATTTACGAATTCTAATCTTCAGTTTGCGAATAATAAATTGTTAGTTTTACAAATGTTCTTAGTCGTTACAAACATAAAATGCTCCCGATTTTAGGATCTATTTGTCTATTTGATACATCATACATGAATTTGTAATTTAGGCATTTTATTTGTAAATGTTACATTGATATTCGTATAAGGGAATTTATAACAAACGAATAATGAAGCAGTTATGACGCTATATAAACAAGTTGTGTTTATGTCGTTTTGTTCCAATGAGGATCGGATAGATGTTTAATTTCCTTCCGAACATATGATACCAAGCACAAAAGAAGTGTCTGATGTGTTTTCTAAAACAGTATTGAGAAAAGCATATATATATATATTTCAAATTGTAATGTTACCATCCAAAAGATGACAATTAAGTTGACGATGTGTAAAATTTTCAGAATGTTTTGAAGACTGATTTAAGAGAAACAAGTGTCCAAAAAGTTCACCATATCGATACCATTACTTTGTCAATTGGTATGTGAGTTGTCACAGATTGCTTTTTTAATGAAAATGGTGACTATTTTGAATTCATGTCCTATTGCAATAAAGCATCAGCCTTTAACATTTGAATCCGATTTGTCAACACATGTATTTGTTATTACCCGGACAGATGAACAAACGAACGTACAGACAGACGGACGGACGGCTTCTCTCCATCCCTCTCAAACTACGTTCAGTGAAAAAAATGAAAGGAAAAATATATGCACATTTCATAGTTAAAGTTATGTTAGAATTATTTTTTATTGGCATCAATGGCAAATTATAACCATGATGATGATTGATGAATATAACATACTACAGCAAAGTATAATCTATGTTGAGCATAGTTTGAAATTATCTAGAGCCAGAAAAAAAATGGTGTCACTTTCGTGACATCACAGCCTGTCACAATGTTTTAAATATACAAATCTGCAAGATATGCATGGGAAGTTGAATGTTTTAAATAATATATAACTCTTACCCAATCTTCCCAGTGGCGTTGAGAAAACAATTCATTTTATGATTCATAATATGATAATCTGACGATATCCAAACTTGTTTTGTAAAAATGGTAGGTTCAGGTATTTGAAACACAAAAGCCCAACAACTTTTTCATTATAAAAACAGTATAACAGTACACATCCCAAGGACAGTGCAATGTAAAATGCGAATAAAAGTCAAAGTTCATATAAAGTACTGTGGGAAAACATATCCGCGTTTGAAAAGAAGATTTAATAAAAGTCTGTTTTTTAATAAGTCTCAACTAACAGACAATTTAAATAGTAGTTTCGGTCGACGAGAAAATGTTTACAATACGGATAGGGCAAGTTGAGGTCAGTATGTCTTTATGGATGGACTCTTTTATCTTTGAAATATCATGAAATTTGTGTGAGTCACTTAAAAGTAGACATTAACTCTAATGTGTTGCATTAAAATAGTAAACGTTTTTTATGTCGATCACAAAACTATCATGAATGGTGTATATAAAATAAGTCATATAGTGACACACCCAGTGCGTTTATTGTTTATGTTTGTGAGAGAGCATGTACGTAGAGAATATATGATAACTATAATTTATATCCCATTACAAAACAATAGTTTTGCTGGATTCGATATATGTACGGCATATATAACCCTTCTTGTACAATTGTACAAAATATCAAAGTATAAATATTCCTTTCCCATTCTTTATGAGATACAACTTACTAAACAGTCTTTCGGTTCACAGTGATACAAATGAAACACTTGATCCTTATTCTACACTAAAATTCGAATTATAAACGACATGCTTTTAGCAGCTCAAAAGTGTTTAAATAATTACCTTTTGGGTTGGGTGATAGGTGATTGGTAAATATTATCGAAAATTCCAAAAGCTGCAAACCTTTCAAAATCCGTCCCAACGAAAGAGATACTATTATATTGTACCTTAACCTGAATGGTCTTCCATGATAGTTCTCCAAGTCGATGGGCCTTAGTGCACGTTTTATATCAACTTTTCTATAATGCAACAATTCAATGCATCACGTGCACTGTTCTCGACCAATCAGATAAGGTATCTGGTCACAGGAAAACTGTTAAATATGAAGGAATATTTGGCGTGGTTGGTCCTTGACATCTACCAATTATTGCTTCGCGGATAGTCATAAGTAAATGTTAAGGGGACATCTCTAAAGTATGAAAGTGTTCGAGAGACCTGTCACATTCCGGAAATACTATTCTCAATGCAAAATATATAAAGAATTAAAGAATGCTGCTTCATTCTTTAATTCACAAGGTACAACGAGGCGTTTACTAAACTAGAAACACTGTAAATTTAATCTTAGGGACAAGAGATAGCAAGGGAAAGACGACATATAATGATGCTCTTTATCTTCAGCAACCAAAAAGTATACATGAATATAAGTACTCATAAATATGAGTCGACGTGTTACTCTCTCCCTAAGATAATTAATAAGTTTAGAAATGAAAGCATTTGTGTGCATATAAATAGATACGAGTACGGATATCACGTCTTTCTTAATATGTTTGTTTGTTTTTTTGTTGTTGATACTTTATTTATATTTGATTGGTGAAACGAAACAATGTCATAACTTATGAAATGTCGCTTTTAAATACATCCTTACCTTTCTCCATGTGTGCACTTCTGGAATAATCTCTTTACATTGGAACGCTTGAGACAACCCCATGATGCCCATTATAAAAAATGATAAAAAATCATTGAAGCAATTCAAACGTTCAAGTTTTATGGGTTTATAGAATTTTGACAGGATGGGTACATTTACCGGTAGTACGGCAGATATAAATCTCCTGAGTTTGCACATGTACGAGCAGCTCCAGGTAGGGTACGTTTAAATCAAGCCAAACTGCCACGGACTACGAATTTCAATGAGAATTCCCGTAAAATACAGTATACTATATACACGATACGATACGATACCATACGATACCATGCCATACCATACCATACCATACCATACCATACCATACCATACCATACCATACCATACCATACCATACCATAGCAAACCATACCATGCCATACCATACCAAAACCATACCATAGCAAACCATACCATACCATATCGATATCATACCATACCATACCATACCATACCATACCATACCATACCATGCGTCTTTCCAATTAATCATGATATTGATCCTGTTATGTAGATTAAAGGGGCAACAAGGACTATCGAGAGAAAATTCGAGATTTCTTATCTTTTCTGAGCTATCAGGTCAATATTTGGCTTAACATTTTCTTTGACATACCTTTTTTCTTAAAATGAATGGATAAACTATCAATTTCAGCATTAAGACGTGTGAATTCAGTTCAAAGCTTCTATAAAGGGAGTCCCACTTATAGTTTTTAAGATCCACCACGTTTCAAGAGGAATATCAGCACTAATTGTTGCACCTTTAATAAAAAAGGTTATGTTAAAAAGGCGATGTTTGTAACCAAAAAGTGGCAATTGTTTGAAAGTTGACAAAAAATAGATAATATTTCTGCATGGTAACTTGATTACACAAACGGGTAAATACCATATATTTTACATTTATGTTTGGTGTTTTTCATGATGTTACTAAAACGTTAATGTATAATTGTCGTCGAGGGGCTTAGACGAGGAACACTTTCCTTTTAAAACTCTACTAAAGTGTATGGCATGTTAACTTTTAAAAATTAAAGTTATTAATGATCCGTCTTTAAAATGTGAACCAAATGCCTCAGAGATGCTCATACGCATACTAATATTGTAAAGGAGAAAGAACAGGCTCTGTTTTATCTGTTGTGCTCTTTTATGGTAAAGAGACTATACAGGATGGGCAATAAAATGGCAAACTGCACCCTTTGCATTCGTTTGACTTCACTTCTTAAAAGAGAGCTTCGTCTTCGTGTAGTTTAACTAGACTCTGCACGCAGGGTAGGCATACTGTGTCATTCTTTAAAGTATTTACAATATGATGTCACAGTTTACAAAAACAAATTTACAATCTAAAAATGAAGCAATACAGGAAAATGGATAGATGCAAATCCTAACGTAAGGTTATAATCGTAACACAACTTTGCGTGTAACGTTATAATCGTAACACAACTTTGCTTGAACGTTATAATCGTAACACAACTTTGCGTTTAATTTACTCCTGAATCTTGAATAATATGATACTTCATTTATTGCTTTTATAAAACGTTTTAAGTAACATATACCACCCTAATAATATGTTTCTAATCTTTTAATGAAATCATTTAGCTTCTTTAAACGATATCAATTTTTCAATTAGAATAAAATTGGCACTTTTCCATTCGTTCCCACTTAGATATTCACATCATCAAGTCGAAAACTTCAAATTATGATAAATATGTTAAAAAACCACAACACTTTCGGTATTTGTTTATTCTTTGAATGAATGAAATGAATATTCATTTTATCCACACCCTGTCTAGAATTTATAGATCTGATTCGTGCATTTTGACATATCGTATACACCGTAGCTCATAAATATGAAATATTGATTTATTTTCTTCAGTGTAGATACTATAATTCTATAAGATATATATGTCTCATATGACTAACAAAGATGCAGCCATCTGTACCCCGTGCAAGATATAGAGGCTCTTATATGAGTAACTGTCCACTCTTGATGAGCTTTGATAATTCTTCTTTATCGAGTCGCAGACGAGATAAAGAAACATTATCAAAAAGTCAAGAATGGACGATATTGCACAGTACAAGAAAGTTTTTCTCATATGACTGTATTATGGCATATTTTCACCATTTTAGATTTTTCTCTGCATCTCTAACACAATTGCCCACCTTTCTTCACTGTCTATTTGTTTATGAATATAACAATAAGCTTTTGAATATACACAACATATTTGCCAAAACAGTCACATAAAGAATTCAAGATCGACTGAAATTCTACCTAGATTTATATTCTAATACCACAGCGTGCGTGACACTAACGTATTAGAAATTAATTATTTCGCACCATTGATAAATAGTAAATGTCATTGAATCGTGGTCTGGTGACTATGATACGACAATTCTAAATAATTTATGCAGTGAATAAATCAAATTGGTTGTTAAAACAACTTAAATGTATGTTTATAGAAATAGGAGATAAGATCAATGTATATGGTTTTCATTAAATTTTTATATATACGTAAACAGTACCCACTACTAAATGTATTTCCCTTATGCCCAGAGGACACATTAAGTTGACTTGGATAGATGAATTTTGAAATCGTGAAAAGCCAAACAGTTTATCAAAGTTCCGACCTGTTGACACTAGAATCAGCGAATCGAAACAAAATGATGGAAACTGTTATCACGAACTGACTAATTATGAACATACTATTGTAAAATTAAACTAATCACCGGGGTGATCAGATTACATCTGTATCTTTTTGTTAGAAATGCCAACAAATTATGTGGGGACATTATTATCTTCAAAAAATTGTAATCCATAAGTCAAAATACGCTTGTAACATTATATTTTACCATTCATCAAATTACAAAACCATGAAGCCACTCTCAAGGGCAAAAGTACTTTTAAAATTTATGTTCTCTGGCGGCTTCATTTTTGAGTTTAATACAATTATACGACTCACAAAATCAAAAGTAATGTTGAGTATGCTTTATAGATATTTAAAAGACGATTTTCGGTATTGCAAATGGTTTCATAACATCACGTATATGACATTAATATATAGATCAGACCATGTTTGTAAATTTAGGTTACAGCATGACACGCAATATGCTACATATGTGCGAAAATTCAAAATTTATTAACGACCCCTTCCTTATTTTGTCGAATATTTATTGAATACTTTCCTTTTGGTTAAATATTTTTATGTTACATTGTGGGTTTTTTTCTAATAAAAATTGAATTTAAAAATTGCTATCATGACCATTTAGTAATTCGTACAATGACCTCGACACGTGAAAATCACAAAAGAAGATTAATATATAGATTTATAAAAATGGCCAAGTTTTAGTAAAGCTATAATCAACTGAGCAATTATGACGTGCACGGACCTGGGGACAATTCGGGAAATACGGGCTAATCTCCGCTTTAAGCGTTAATATATGCCTTATTTAAAAAGCTAACTATATGCATTATATATCATTTTGAAGTATTTTTTATTCGCATTTCATTGAAATTATTTTTCCTTGAAAAATGTGATGGGATCTACCATATTTTTAAAGTTAAATGTACTCCGACATCGTCAAATACGCTGTAAGGCGTAACATTTCACGCTTACACGGTTCGTTGAAATCAGGATAACTTTTGAAATACTGATCAGAATTTTACTAAAATCTCACATTTTATTCATTGAAACATGTGCTTTTATGACGTCACAATTGCCTAGCGGCTATAGTTCAAATCGTCTTATATGAACGCTTTTAAGATTTTCAAAATTGTGTAAGGTTTTGAAGGCGAGGGAGATAAGCAATAAGTTTACCTTAATTTAACCTTCTAATTTAGGTCTGATTTCAAAAAAAAATTTAACTGCACAATATTGTCATGGCGAAATTTACAAAACAATAACCGATTTCTTTATTTTTCAAATAATAAGAGAATAAGAGTTGCTTTTAGAGACTTGAAAAAATGTAACGCATCGATTTTTTACCACAAATCCCATACATATCAATTTTTACTGACGCCCCGAGTGGATTTCCTGACCGTTTTTCAAAAATCAAAAACATTTTAGAAATATTGTCCTCGAGATCTTCTTGCTCTGTGAATCTCACCAGGATTGAATAAGAATAAAGCATCCTATTTTTAGGTTGACTAAACTTGACAAAATGTAACGCTTGTCGTTTTTGACGTTATAATGCTGATTGCGCCCTATACAGTTGGACGGCACATTGCCTTAACCCATCAGCTTTATGACGTGCACTTCCGCGTGGGACTATATCTTTACAACGGGAATTTCAAGTTTTTGTCAGTGTAGACATAAAAAGTTGCGGTCCTCTTACTCGCGCAGTTTTTAATATTTTCGTTTGAAACTTGCAGAAACGGTGCTTTGAATCTAGCTCTCTTCTCTTTGAAAACGTCATGTAGAATCAAAACAGTTGAACTATTTATTTGTTGTCGTGAAAATATTATTTTTTT